AATAAAGGAAAGAAGATGTGCCTCAACTCATTTTCGCTTCGGACGGCGGGTGAGCAGGTAGCAGCAGCAGAAGTAGCAGCAGTAGGAAGGCAGTTCCTGTCAAGCGCGCAGCGTTCGAGTTTTGCACCTCGAACTTTGCGCGTCGTTCCCGTCGAGATCACTGGCTGCTGGTAGCGGCGTCACCTCGATGGTGCAAGCGCTCCTTGTCTGAATGATAACTACAAATCTCGATTACTTTCTCGAAAGGGCATATCAGCTTTTGTAAGCAACGTATTTGATCGTCGGTTTGGCATAACTGATAGCTCGCCCCACATAGGGAATTTTTCCTCTATCTGATGGTAGTGTTAGCATGCGTGGGTAAAATACCAGTTACGCCAAATCGACGATCAAATGCGTTGTTTACAAAAGCTGATACGTTCTTTCGAAAAAAAAAAACTAGAAATACTACTTGGGCTGTGTACCAATTGCCGAGTTAAATTTAACTCGTGGTTAAACGTGACATTTCGAAAGTTATTTTCAATGTTTGAAAATGCCGGAAATTGACCAGTTTTCGAACAGAACTCAGCCACGGTTACCACAATTTAACTTCTAGTCGGTCCGAAATAACCACGCTCGTATAGCAGGGTTATTCGATAACTCATCTGTCACTTTTAACCACGAGTTAAATCCAACTCGCCCATTGGGACACAGTCTGCCTTGAAATTAAAATTAGGGACCATCTTTAAATTACGTAGAATTGGTTTGACAAATTAACACCCCCCCCCCTTCCTCCTCGTTGCGTGTTTTGCTATCCATGGCCGGTCACAACTTCTGAAACCCCTCTCCCCCCCTCAACTACTACGTTATTTATGAAAGTTCCCTAAGCATTGGGCAACAGTGAAAATCAGCAGCACACACACACAACGGGTTGGACATTTTTGTGAAATTTCGGTATTAATCGTGAATATCTGATTAAATACCGACAATGAACGATCGTCGGTCGTAGCTTGTTGTGATGTAAGGAGCACGGTGGCCTTAGAGCGACCGTTTTTGCTTACTGAGCAGAAGATCGTGGGTTAGAACCCAAGCCTCTTTACATTACCGAGTAGATAGGGTCGCGTCATTTGCTTAACAGCCTTTAAAAGATCGTTAACCCTTCCCACTAACAAAAACGTCCTTCTCGTGACAAGCGTGGAGATGCAGAGGTATACTCGGTCTCTAGTAGCAACGGTTGTTGAAATAACAATCCTTTCCCTTCCCGATGACCGCAAGGACGTGGCCGGCGCTGTTATTGACCTCAAAAATAAAGATCATCCGGATTTTTTACACTAAGAATGGATTGCTAGTCCCAAGCCCCATTTGATAAAGTTATGGGGGCTCGACCCAAGTAACAATTTCCAGTTGAAGAAACGCTTTCGTTTTGATTTTGTTCAGCTGCATGTTGAATAATAATTGCACAATGTGTTCATCACAACTTTTATAAAACCCTTGTTTACACTGGTTTGGAGAACCTATACAACTGCAACACAAAGGTGTTGTCTAACGTATTCAGTAAAACGTTTAACCAAAATCAATTTCTTGTTGAAGAAACGCTTCAGTTGTGATTTTATTCAACTGCATGCTGAATAATAACTGTACAATTTGTTTATTACAACTTCTGTAAAACTCTTGTTTACACTGGTTTGGAGAACCTGTTCAACTACAGCATTATATGTATACGCGGTATAGGAGTAGAAGCAACTTTTATACAACGTTTATAGATACATATTTAAAGTCAAGCTTTATTATTTTGGTGAAAGCTCTTATACAACGTTTGTAGACACTTCCTGACAGCTGCTTTGAAATTTAGTAGAGAGTAAACCTGAGAGGCGTTTGTTGCACTCTTTTATGACTCCTAAATAATCATTGTACAGCAAGCGGTGAAAAGCGTTTATAGCACTTTTCAATGACTCCTTAACAACCGGATAGAAGCAACTTTTATACAACGTTTATAGATACATATTTAAACTCAAGCTTTATTGTTTTGGTGAAAGCTTTTATACAACGTTTTTAGACACTTCCTGATAGCTGCTTTGAAATTTAGTAGAGAGGAAACCTGAGAGGCGTTTGTTGCACTCTTTTATGACTCCTAAATAATCATTGTACAGCAAGCGGTGAAAAGCTTTTATAGCACTTAACAACCGGATAGAAGCAACTTTTATACAACGTTTATAGATACATATTTAAACTCAAGCTTTATTGTTTTGGTGAAAGCTCTTATACAACGTTTGTAGACACTTCCTGATAGCTGCTTTGAAATTTAGTAGAGAGGAAACCTGAGAGGCGTTTGTTACACTCTTTTATGACTCCTAAATATTAATTGAACAGCAAGCGGTGAAAAACGTTTATAACACTTTTCAATGACTCCTTAACAACCGGATAGAAGCAACTTTTATACAACGTTTATAGATACATATTTAAACTCAAGCTCTATTGTTTTGGTGAAAGCTCTAATACAACGTTTGTGGACACCTCCTAACAGCTGCTTCGAAAAGTATTAGAGATTGAACCTGAGAGGCGTTTGTTACACTCTTTTATGACTCCTAAATAATCACTATACAGCAAGCGGTGAAAAGCGTTTATAGCACTTTTTAATGACTCCTTAATAACCGTTGTGTAAGTACTCACAATATTCACAGATTAAAATTAGTTTAACAATTGTCGTGGTACGCCAAAATAATTGCTTGTACAGTTTTTATTAATTTAATTTATTTGTGCACCTTGAAAAAATATGTAATTATGCCATAATTCACATTCTGTGATCATGGAGGAAGTAGTAACAAGCATCTGTTTAATCTTTGATTGATATTCTATCAATTAATCTTCTCTAATCATTAATTGAGAGAATTTATCTAGAAATGTTATCGTTGATTATTTGATATATGTCTTAAATTAATGTTTGCATTTATTAATATAACACTTATATATAATTTACCTCTACTCCACCGAGGGTTTCTCGAAGCAAGATTCGAACTCATGATCCCGGATTGCCAGCCGCTTCTGTTTCCATCTGCTCTATTCTTGAATACATATTTTGATCATATGAGAGAAGTATATGAAGCTCATCTTGAGTGACTTCTCTTGCAGTCGAATAATCATTGCCTTATATAAACGTGCCTATCACTTGTGCTATTTTTAGCAACAAAATTATGGTTGGTGGTTGGTCGAACGTAAACAATCATTTAAGAGTGCTCCAAGCAGCTTTTGAAGCGTTTAACCAAAAAGGCAATACAACTACATTCTTGTACAACTCTGGAAGCTATTATTCAACGTTTGATCAACTCAGGTGTTTTATAAGAGCTCCCAATGGTTTGTTTTGATCCGTTTATTCCACATCCTATATGGCTCCTGTCAAACAGTTCAACCAAACGTAAACAATCATTTAAGAGTGCTCCAAGCAGCTTTTGAAGCGTTTAACCAAAAAGGCAATACAACTACATTCTTGTACAACTCTGGAAGCTATTATTCAACGTTTGATCAACTCAGGTGTTTTATAAGAGCTCCCAATGGTTTGTTTTGATGCGTTTATTCCACATCCTATATGACTCTTGTCAAACAGTTTAACCGAACGTAAACAATCATTTAAGAGTGCTCCAAGCAGCTTTTGAAGCGTTTAACCAAAAAGGCAATACAACTACATTCTTGTACAACTCTGGAAGCTATTATTCAACGTTTGATCAACTCAGGTGTTTTATAAGAGCTCCCAATGGTTTGTTTTGATGCGTTTATTCCACATCCTATATGGCTCCTGTCAAACAGTTCAATCAAACGTAAACAATCATTTAAGAGTGCTCCAAGCAGCTTTTGAAGCGTTTAACCAAAAAGGCAATACAACTACATTCTTGTACAACTCTGGAAGCTATTATTCAACGTTTGATCAACTCAGGTGTTTTATAAGAGCTCCCAATGGTTTGTTTTGATGCGTTTATTCCACATCCTATATGGCTCTTGTCAAACAGTTTAACCGAACGTACACAATCATTTAAGAGTGCTCCAAGCAGCTTTTGAAGCGTTTAACTAAAAAGGCAATACAACTACATTCTTGTACAACTCTGGAAGCTATTATTCAACGTTTGATCAACTCAGGTGTTGTATAAGAGCTCCCAATGGTTTGTTTTGATGCGTTTATTCCACGTTCTGTATAGCTCTTGTGAATCAGTTTAACTAAGGTGCTATAAAAGTTATCGTACGTCTTATAAAGCATATAGTTAAACCGAACGTAAACAATCATTTAAGAGTGCTCCAACAGGTTTTAAAACTTTTAATCAAATGGCAATACAACTACATTCTTGTTCAACTCTCGAAGCTATTATTCAACGTTTGATCAACTCAGGTGTTTTATAAGAGCTCTCAATTGTTTGTTGGGGAGCCCTCCTGGTTCTGAGCTTTTGGAGGGAATTAACTGAGAACGAGCAAAAAAGTTTTAAACTTGAGATAATTTTCAAGCAGTTTTCCACTGGCTTGCAAAATAAAACCGAACGACTTCGCTGCACCCATGTAAGACCTACCTACCAAGATCCATGCCAAAGGCATCAGATGTGTACTAAAAGTCTAGTGTTCTTTTCATTTTCTCTTAGTAATTAATTTCACATTAGATGATAATCTTAATCAGTGTTCTCCAATTGTGCATTTTCAGTTTCTTTAAAAATCGATCCATCCTTGATAAATTGAAATGTTTCAAAAAACTTTTCATCTTCAAAAGCATTGCAACAATTAGAAACTTTGTCGAAAATTTGATAACCTGAACAAATATCATGCTATTTCCAAAATTTAGATTTTTTGATATAACCTCACAAATGTGTAACGCAGAGCTTTAAAATTATGTTTGGCATGATTTCTTTCTTATATTCCCATATAACAATTTCTGGACAACAGTATCAATTTATTCGGAGATGAACTAGCCTACGGCTAAAAATCTCCTAAATAAAGAAAAAACATCAATTTATCAATTTAGAGTTTTGCGGTTTGTGTTCCGTGCCCTCAACAAAATGCATTCAAAGCAAACCCAACCATTCCGAAAACAACTCAAAAGTATCCCAAAACTCCAGCCTCATCAATCATTCCAGCGAACGCAGCCAGAACCTCCTCCGCATTCGGTACAATCTGATCGGCTGGCAGGATGAAGCCGTACTGCACCTGATCACGCAGCTCGAAGGTATAGGCCAGGGGAATCTGCGCTGCACCGTAGGCCCAGTCAACCGAAATACCCGACGCCACGTCTGGAAAAAGATCCGCATGTTTAAGCACTCTACCGCAAACACCTATTCGGGAAGCGACTTACACAGAACATCGGCCGTCGTTCCCACCCGATACGGAGTTTTGTGTACTTTGTACATATCAACGGCAGCCCGTTGGCCAATTTGCATCAAATCCCTATAGTTCGGTGGATAGGGAGCTGCATTGTATCCGAACGGTACCAGAATGTACTGTCCCCGAGAGTGCACCGACAGGTAGAGATTGAGTTTGTCAGCAATCGACCGCACGAAGTTCGATATCGTTTTCACTTCGATCTCCGATTCCGGATGCTCTCCGGCGTACACGTCCGAGCAAGGATTGGTAGAGGTTCCTCCGTCTGAATAATTGCGGTTCGTTAAATGGTTTATAGCGGGTAATTATAGCCCGAGTACTTACTACTCCATTGAAAGTCAAAATTCCGATTGGGGTCGGCTCCCTGACAAAGCACCGTATACGGAAAACGAGTTTTTCTCCAAAGGCGGTTCTGCAATAAACTTAGTTTAAATTCCAAATAATCCAATAATTTGGTGTCCATTCCATACCGTAGTATGCGTGTAGGCAAACCCATCTGGATTCGCAACCGGTACAATGTACCAATCATAGTTCTCTGCCAACTCCCGAATTGCTGGATTGTCCGAAGTTAGCAGTTCGTTCAATATCCAGGTGACCGTAGCAGACGTGATCCATTCCCGAGCATGAATGTTAGCATCGATGAAAATTCCTGGATTACCTTCCTTATAGGACAACTTAATGACCTTAAGATCACGTTTTTCATACGAGTGACAGATGGTTTCAATGCTCAGAACGTCTTTGTACTGCAGAGCAATTTCGTCAAGCCAGGCGTAGATCTCCTCCAGCGTGTAGTAGTCTTCCCATCCAAAAGCAGCACGTCTAGCACGATTCGGCCGTTCGTTGTCTATGGCACTGCAATCGTTGATCACATGACTTATTATCTACCGAACTCATATAATACCGAACGTACCTTTGTAGATCTGAAGATATCAAAACAGGATTCAAGTTGAATAGTAGGACAAGCTGTTCAAACTTTCGCTGTTTTGCAGGCGGAACCACCACCTGGATCTTTGAGTTGATCACTAAAGGAACATCTAGAAATGTAAACTAATTACCAATATTAGCCATCTCCAGGTCACACTTTGAATCCCATCTAATACCTCATTCGGTGTAGTTTCCAAGTCCTGTAGAGCGCCCAACTGTTCTTCATTTTCTATTCCGATGGAATACACTCGATGATTGTCGAATCGCAGCTTATCTGACAGGCAGCACGCAGCACCTAATATTACAAGTACCAATATCTGGAGTGTCTTCATCATGACTGGAAGCCATCCGGGGTATATCTATACAATGAGTTGAATTTTTACGACTAGTCTTAGTTGCAGTATGACCGTAGATAACACGACTGAACGCAGCAGTGCTGCCTGTGATTCTACTTGGTGAATGATTTGTGGTTGGTCAACTGAAGTGACGATTTGCTGACACTGACCGTAAATTGGAATTCCCATAAATCAATCACCGAAAAGCCGGAGCTATTAGATTGCTGTCAAAATCTATAAAATCTATTGTTTGAGAGCTAATCAACTTATTCGGTATTAGGGTGTCTTACAATCATGAAGTGCGGGTCATTGGCGCTGCTATTGCTAGCCGTAGGCGTGTGTGGTACGTTCGGTGATAAAGTACGATTCGATAACTACCGGCTGTATGAAGTGTCTGTGAAGAATGAAGAACAACTCAAAGTGCTACAGTATCTGGAACAATTTCCGGATGGAGTATGGAATTTAAGGATGGTTGAATTTTAGAAATTACAATCATATATCTTTTCCAGTACTCATTCTGGGAGTCACCCGTCCAGACCAACATGAATCTCAGAATGGTTGTCCCACCGCACAAGTTTGGTGACTTTGAAGAAATGATGGAACGCTTCGATATGGAGAGTTCACTGAAGGTTAACAATGTTCAGGAGTAAGTTGTCTTTTCTTTCATTTTGCATACACACTAAGTGCCTGTTCACCTCATTCAGGTTGGTTGACAATGAACGTCCTGAGCGTAGAAAGCGTGAGGGTTTCGGGTGGGACGACTACCACACTTTGGATGAGATGTACGCTTGGTTCGATGAACTGGTTGCGCAATACGGAAATATTCTAGAAATTGAATCCTACGGCTTTTCCTACGAAAAGCGAGAGATGAAAGCTATTAAGCTATCCAAAAAAGCAGGCAATCCTGGTATCTTTTTGGAATCGAATATTCACGCTCGCGAGTGGATAACTTCGGCCACGGCTACGTGGATCCTGAACCAACTGTTGACTTCGACTGACCCCGCCGTTCAGGATCTGGCCGATAACTACGACTGGTACATTCTTCCAGTGATCAACCCGGATGGTTTTGCCTACACCAAGGATGTAAACCGCATGTGGCGCAAGAATCGATATCCGCACACCATTCTATGCTACGGAACAGACATGAACCGTAACTTCCCGGGCCATTGGATGGGTTTGTAGACTACATAATATCGTTATACAGTTTTAGTCCATTAACCTGTTCCTATTTTCTCAGAGGGAGGTGCTTCCAGCGTTCCCTGCACCGATACGTACGCCGGACCTGAGGCTGGCTCGGAAATTGAATCCCAAAACGTTATGAACTATTTCCTCAAGTACAAGGATAGGATCGAGCTCTACCTGTCATTCCACTCCTACGGTCAGTACATGCTCTTCCCATTCGGTCACAACGGTGCTGAGAAGTCTGATAACTATTTCGACTGGATGCAGATGGGTGAAGCAGCTGCCATTGCGCTTTATGAGAAATACAAAACCAAGTATCAGATTGGAACTACCGCTGATGTTCTATGTAAGTACCCATTAGCATCTTAAGGACTCTGGGAATCCTTAGCGAGAAACTTCCAAAGCACAAATGTCAGCTTCCACAAAATATACAAATATGAAATTGCTACTCCAAGGTTGCTACGCTACAACAAACAGAGAGTAGCAATTTCATAATTGTATGTTTTGTGGAAGCTGACATTTGTGCTCTTGAAATTTCACGCTAAGGCTACCTTATAGCGAATTCGTTTATTATTCAGTTCCAACCTGGATCGGGTATTTAGATTAGGTCTGCTTGTTTTCTGACAAACGTCAGTTTTCTCGTTTGTCTTTAAAACCTAGCTCTGGTTGAGGTTCACACTGACAAAAAGTTTGGTTTTGCACTCGCGATAATAAACGAATCCGCTATTAGAGTATCACCTTAAAGAAATCAAACGAATTACGGAACGAGAACCAATCTCATTCACAGACATCGCATCTGGATCGTCCCCTGATTGGGCACATGGCGTCGAAGGAGCTCCAATTGGCGTGACGTACGAATTCCGTGACCAGGGAAGCTATGGATTCATCCTTCCGGCTGACCAAATCATTCCCAACGCGGAGGAGGTGCTGGACTCGTTGGTTGCTTTCTTCACCGAGGGAAAATCACTGGGATATTTTCAAGCGCGACCATGAGTGAATGATGGGTGCTTGCTGCAGTAGCAAATGGTTGATAGATAAGATTGACGCCTATTAGCGCCTGCCAAATGATGGGTGCTTTTCATAGCAAATGTTTGTAATAGAAATTGTGTGATTGCATTTGTTATGATAAGGATTGATAAACGTTTATGGTGCCAATAATCGGCTGTTATCAAATTTGTTTGGGTAAATTTGATTACACCATTCGATGAGTAAGGTACAGTGCGGTTCAGAATATTGAACCTATGTATTTTGGTTATCGGTGGTAATAGAAATATTTCTGTCAGATAAAAAAAATCAGCAGTTTCTTGAATATAGCTATTGACCCTTTGTTCTTGAATCACTTCCACAGTTTTCGACTGCGAGCTTTCTTAGACCGCTGGCAGAGTGAAAGCTGGTTACCGAGCACACAAAAGATTTTATTATTAAGTATACATTTTACTGATCAGCTCGGTCGCCAGCTTCCACTCTGCCAAGGGCTTAAGCTTGTGTACATTTTCAAAATGGGGTCAGCTCAGTCGGTAAAGACGCAGCTATAAAGCAAGACCTTGCTGGAGGTGGCTGGGTTCGATTTCCGGTTCAAGTTGAAAAATTTCCTCGACGCTACTCTAGGCATAAAGAATGATTGTTCTTCCACACAACAATACTAATGCAACTACATGTACAGGCTTAGAAAGCTCCCATTAACAACTGTGAAAGTGCTCAAAGAACACAAAGTTGAGAGGCAGCGTATAGTCCCAGTGGACAATGTAATGAACTCAAAAAAAGAAGTAAGCCCGCTGCCTCCGACATTGCGTTGTTTTAGAACCGGGCCTAATGGACATGTACATTAGACTGATTCAAAATTTGAAATTTTCGCTCCACAGTGTTCAAATGGTTTCAAATCCTAATTAGCCTCCCAAAGTTTAAACTTATTTGATAAGAAACTGAGTTGGCACAAACGATTTGAAGTTTATATTTAAATTACTATGGGAAAACCAAACTTTTTGTTTACTGTCCTCTAGCCTTTTTCCATATTGTACTGTTAACAAGTTCTATTGCTATTCTTATGGGAATTTTTATCAGCTACAACTTTGCATAAATCGTTTTTCAGCCAAACGTCAAATAAAATAGTTATTAATTGTTTAAGAGATTGATAATCTTATGGCAAGTTTAAGCAACCGTATTGTGGGCAAAACTGTATTCTGCAGTGAGACATAGTAGCCATGATTTTTGTCCTCTACTGTACGCGCCATAAACACCAATGTTGCCTGCTGAACAGTTGATTGAGCATAATCATAAGACATCAGTGACTTGAATCCTTAATATTTTTTGTTCCTTACATTTGATCGAAAAGTGGTCTTGAACAAAGTTTTAGCTGAGAAAATTGAGGCATTAGGATTTATCCCAGGCTACTATTGTAGAAAATCGTAATTAATACACGGAGACGAAAAACTACCCAAAATTAAGTACTTTTCCCTCAATTTCGGGGTTCAGCCCAATAACCCAAATTTGTGTAAATCGCATATAGTAGTTTCCATTTCACACCAGCAAAAAAAATACCTACTCTTAAGTATATTCTACCCAAAATTAAGTTTGATTCACGTAAATTTGAGAATATGCAAATTACTCAAAAATAACTTATTGGGCTGAACTATATCGTTGGGTCGAATGTCTCGTTCTTTTTCTGACAACAATAAAGAGTGCAAGTGCATATTACGTAAAAAGAACTCAAATGTTGGGTAGAGTTTTTTCTCCGTGTAGATATTGGGCGGAACGCGTCGGAATGTTTAGAAGGGTAGGGCGCACGCTTGATCCAGTTTGCTTTCGGGAACGTGATTTAACTTGTTAAACCAGGGCTTAAACAATCGTCACGTCGGTCATAGCTTGTAATGATAGCCTGAACAAATGATAAGACAATCTATATATATAAAAATGAATTTCTGTCTGTCTGTCTGTCTGTCTGACTCTTATTGACTCGGAAACTACTGAACCGATTGGCGTGAAAATTTGTATACAGGGGTTTTTGGGGCCGTGGAAGGTTCTTATGATGGTTCGAGACCCCTCCTCCTTCTGTAAGGGGGGGCTCCCATACAAATGAAACAGAAATTTCTGCATAACTCGAGAACTAATTAAGCAAATGGAACCAAATTAGGCATGTGGGGGCGAGTGTGGGGGTATAAGGAGATAATCATAAGGGGTAGCCCCTTAGATAATAGGGGGGGGGGGGCTACGTATAATATAGCATGCTTTTTTTTAAACCGGCGCATAAACTCAAGCTAATATTGAATCCCGAGCAAGACCGGGCACTCTCAGCTAGTAAGTTATAAAATATAAACGGAGACGAAAAACTACCCAAAATTAAGTACTTTTCCCTCAATTTCGGGGTTCAGCTCAATAACCCAAATTTGAGTAAATCGCATATAGTAGTTTCCATTTCACACCAGCAAAATAAAATACCTACTCTTAAGTATATTCTACCCAAAATTATGTTTGATTCACGTAAATTTGAGAATATGCAATTTACTCAAAAATAACTTATTGGGCTGAACTATATCGTTGGGTCGAATGTCTCGTTCCTTTTCTAACAACAATAAAGAGTGCAAGTGAGAGGCTGAACTCAATATTACGTAAAAAAAACCCAAAATTTTGGGTAGAATTTTTTCTCCGTGTAGATATTGGGTGGAACGCGTCGGAATGTTTAGAAGGGTAGGGCGCACGCTTGATTCAGTTTGCTTTCGGGAACGTGATTTAACTTGTTAAACCAGGGCTTAAACAATCGTCACGTCGGTCATAGCTTGTTATGATAGCCTGAACAAATGATAAGACAATCTATATATATAAAAATGAATTTCTGTCTGTCTGTCTGTCTGTCTGTCTGTCTGTCTGTCTGTCTGACCCTTATAGACTCGGAAACTACTGAACCGATTGGCGTGAAAATTTGTATACAGGGGTTTTTGGGGCCGTGGAAGGTTCTTATGATGGTTCGAAACCCCTCCTCCTTCGGTAAGGGGGGGCTCCCATACAAATGAAACAGAAATTTCTGCATAACTCGAGAACTAATCAAGCAAATGGAACCAAATTAGGCATGTGAAGGCGAGTGTGGGGGTATATGGAGATAATCATAGGGGGTAGCCCCTTAGATAATAGGGGGGAGGGCTACGTACAATATAGCATGCTTTTTTTAAAATCGGCGCATAAACTCAAGCTAATATTGAATCCCGAGCAAGACCGGGCACACTCAGCTAGTCATATTTAAATGTCGTAATAATACCTCTGACCAAGGCAAAATGATTTATATGGTATTTATAAAACTTGACGATACCAATACTAATAAGAAAAGGAATTCCACATTTCCTTTTTCCAAGTCTTTTTCCTCTCCGTCCCTTCCCTTCTTCTCTTTTCAGAAAACGAGTAATGGTGCTATAACCATATGCCATATAGGGTTAGGACAAGAGTTAGTGCTCAGGTCCCAACCGCTAGAAGAAAATTGAGCATCACTTAACCTTTTTAGACTAGATGCTCCCAACGACAAATGATTTATAAATAACAATATAACGGAACGTACGGTACGAGATGTCCACGTTTCATCCATTTATTGGATTCTGAAGCATCGTGTTTAAATCTTGGATTTAAACAGGCCCGATGTTTCTAAATCATCTTGCCCCTCAAATGCTGCACAGTAGGCCTGGCCGTTTTGATGTATTTTGCGCATCTATGATGTGCAACATATACCAAAGAGAAAAAAAAAAGTGATGGAGGGGCTTTCATTAACTGGCTGTGTTGGTGTTAGATTAGATTAGATTAGATTAGAGAAAATTTTCAACAAGTTCAGTTATCATTTTTTAAATTAGAGTGAACTGGTGAGTTTTGAGATTGATATGAACCGAAATTATGGTTTCCCCATAGTAATTTCCATATAAAGTTCAAATGGTTTGTGCCAAGTCAGGTTTTTACTAAAGGAGTTCAAATTTTGGGAGGATAATCAGGATCCAATTTGGAACCGTTGATCACTGTGGAGCGATCAGTCTAATGTACATACTTGTGAGTATGTGTTGAATGCATTAAATATAAATGTAGAATGGTTGGCATATTATATGTAGGGGTGGACCTATTACTCGCGGTTCACTCGAGAAGTGGGTACCATTGTTTAGGGAAGTATCAGGGGAGGAGACAAAACTAGCTTTAAAACACCTAGGGAAATTTCAGGATTGCCTGATTCTCAAAATCAGAACGGAATTGAAACAGCTTAAAAACGCCAAATCAGCCTTCTTTTACTGGCGCTTATTTAGTCTATACACTGTACAAATAAAGCAATAAAAAATAGTCCATATCATATGACTTCTCTTGTTGATTTCTCGGAATTCAAGGCACGCCTACACAAACTAACGGGTAGGAGAAGTCTTCCTCTACTCGATGGTGATGTCGATTTGCCAGGGAAAGCCATAACTTCCGATAAATCATCGAGAGAAGTCATTGTTTACAAAAGCTGTTACGCCCTAATTCCAGCTCTATCTAGATATGTTCTAAGAAACTTCTTCTTAAAGCTGATAACTAGAATGTTTTTTAATGATTAACATATATTTTATAAGAATTTTTCAAATAATCACGGTTTTATTATGTTCTCAAAAATAGTTCACTTTTAACTCAATATCTCATCAACATGGCTCACTTAAGAACGTCCACAAGAGGAATGTTTATTTGAATTTAAAAAATTCGTGTGCAGTATAATACTACTAAAAGTTGTAAACTTCATATTAGCAGACTATTAATGCATTAATTGTACTAAAAAGTTTAAATAATTGACAAAATTCCTATAGCATGTTTGTATCATGGTTGGACCTACGCAGAATCGTGGTTGAACCTAGTTGTTTACTGTATTGGCCGGCAGGTGCGCTTCGGTTTGTTTACAATTTCCTTCGCGGGCAGCAGTTTTGAATCGATGTTTTCTCGTCGCATTAAACCGCGGCCAGAGTAGACGCGAAACACGACGCCACGCAATGCGACACATGCAAGAAATAATAATAAATAATAAGATTCTGTTGAATTGGTCGCGTCGTGACGTGTGTCGCGTCTACTCTGGCCGCGGCCTTAGCCGTTAGCGCAGAAATAAGAAACATAAAAAATAAG